GTGAATGAGCATTTCAACCATAACTTACAACTAAGCAAGAGAAATAATGGTTTCAGATTAGTTTTATTCAGTTCAAAACTACAAGGCTGTGGATATAAAAAACAAGTGAATGGATTCTGATACGGGCGAAATACCAAATTTAACCTAGACTGTATTCATTTATCACAAACTGTAAAAATCTTTTGGAGGCATTTCGTTAAATTCACCAATTAAACCTAAACACTGGTCAATGATGTAATCGACCTCATTAGTATCTGGCAAGTTAGAGCGATAACTAAGGATATAAATAATACCCATTTTCTTAATCAAGTTAAGGAAAATAACACTTGTCAGAAAGGTTTTACAATCATGATCTTCTCACCAAATGTTAGGTCCTCAGAGCTAAAAAGGAAACACTTATTGTGAAGAAAATACGACAGTAAACTTCACTTGACCTTGCATTCAAGCGCTAAAGAAAGGAAAAACTGCAGGACCTGACGGGCTTCCATTTTTTCATTGTATTACTGATTTATTGTGCAGCATTTGGATACAAGAGCACACTCCATCATCGTAGAGCGAATCACTGATTGTCCCGATGTTCGAAAAGGGATCTCAGAACGACCGCACAAACCACCGCGGGATAGCAATCATCACCAAAGTATTACCCTCAGTCATAGTTCGACGTCTGACGACCTTTAGGGAGGCAAATATCCGTGATAAAAAAGCAGGATTCCTACCAGGTCCAGGTTGTATTGACCAAATCTTCATGTTGGGTCAAGTCCTCGTGTTACACCATACACGCCATCGACAAACGGTTGTCGTGTTCCTTGAGGTAAAAGGAGCCTTCAACTCAGTCGACCGCGAAAACCTTATGAGTTCGCTTCTTTGGAAAGGAATACCGCGGAAGTATATGAAACCTACTGAGCTCACTCTACTGGCACACATCTGGTAGCGTAAAGGTTTAAGGTGGACTAAGCACACCGTTCGAAACCAGCAGCAGGATTCGTCAATGGTGCCCTATTTCGTCAATCCTATTCCATTTCGTCGTCAACAAAATACTGTAGAGAATGAACTAAGCGGTCTTCAAAATGTAGGTATGGAATGGGTAGCAGAGGAAATTCTGTGCGACCTAGAGCACGCTGATAACATTGTCCGTCTGTTCGAATGTATGGAGGACGCGTAAAGCTGTTTTTCCACTCAGTAAGCACTTTGCCCCTTTACAGTGCATTGCTGTTGCAAGACTCGGTGTCCCCCAATCCCGTTCTGGAACTAGGTGGTCAAAACTTAGCTCAAGTTGACTGTTTCACATACCTCGGTAGTTGAATGACCAACAACGGTAGCGCACCAAAGGAGATAACCGCACGCATTTCCAGAGCTCGAACAGCGTACGCGGGATAAAAGCACCTATGGAGATGACGTGACGTTTCAATGAAATTGAAAAGTAGCGTATACTGCGCCACTGCATACTCAGTTTTTCTTTACGGTTGGGACCTTGTAGGAGACATCTATCGCCCGGAGGTTCTCGATAATCGATGTTTATGTATTCTGGCTAAGGTGGGGTGGAGGGAGCGGGTTAGTAATCTAGATGTAATTAGGCGTAAGCTTGGGAATTCATCGAGGAAGAACTCTCTAACGCTAATAATTCGCCTCGACAGACTCCGTTGGTTAGAATACGCTTTGCGTATACCTGATGTTCGCCTACCTCACCGCGCCTTACTTGGAGTGGCCGTTCCAAACTGGAGAAAATTACGTGGAGGTCAACAGATGACGTGGAAACGAGCAATGAAGAAATGCATGGAGCTGTTAGCTGGGGCATGTGTCTCTTGTCTTCCGGGGTGGGATCCAAAAGAGTACGTAGCTGGATG